TCTTTTTAAAAGCCAAATTTTGAGCTAGAATGCTCATCTTCGAACTCGATCTGTCTTTTTATGATACAAAACGACTCTGAAAATCCCAGGTCGCTATCTCAATTCTCTCACGAGTTATCGTGCGGACAGACAGACAAACAAACAAACAAACAGACAGACAAACAGAATGAAACTTTTCCGGTCAGTGGAGTAATGGGCTTCGCTAATCGCTCAGCCAACTAATCGCTCAGCCAACAATTGTCAAGTTCAAGTGTGTTCTTGTTAAAAGAATCGGGTTCTCTGGGTGCGGCGGCGCTGGTCGGGCCTGCGGCCCGACCATTTTTGTCACGCGATTTGCTGAAGAACATGATCGAATGATGTAGCGGGCCTTCGGCCCGCGTAAACCCGTCGTCTTTGAGTCTGCCCGTAGATACGAGAAAGGGCTGTAACGGTGATGCACCGCGACTACAACCCACCCTTCTGCTTAGAAAACGGTCTTTAGGGGTGGGGGGAGAGTTTCTTTTCTCTTTTGCGGTTTTTACACATTTTTCTACAACTTGGCGCTAGGGCAATTTTTAGCTTATTTTCGTCAAGAAAGACCCTCTAGCGCCTAAACGATTAGAGTTAGAGCAAAACAGACGAAATTTTCGCCCATAGGGTTCTAGTTTGACGAGTTACTCCTGACGAGGACCAAAAATAAATAAAAGTGGGGGGGGGGGGAATTTGTGAACCTTGGATACCCCCCCACATCCACACCCTTAAGGGTGGTTGCCAGGATTTGCCGTAGCCGTTTCGTTCTCTAGGAGTGGACCTTAAGTTACCCTTAAAATTTCAAGTCTCTAGCAAATCTCCTTCTAGTGGAACAGACAGACAGACACGAGGTCGTTTGCATAAGCCCGCTGGATAGCTTTTTCAAAGCAGAAGGGCGGGCTAAAAAGACAGATCGAGTTCGAAGATGAGCACTCTAGCTCAAAAATTGACTTTAAAAACAAATCAATAACCACAGGTAACAAAATATATTTTTTTTAGCCCGCCCTTCTGCTTTGAAAAAGCTATCCAGCGGGCTTATGCAAACGACCTCGTGTCTGTCTGTCTGTCTGTCTGTCCCACAAGAAGGAGATGTGCTAGAGACTTCAAATTTTCAGGGGATCTCAAGGTTCACTCCCACAAAACAAAACGCC